AAATTAGCCCCGCCTCCACTCACTCACACCAGCTCAGAGATCCATTCGTTGAGGATCACACGTTGACGTGATTGGTTACAAGGTAGTTTGTGACGTCATAAACACCAGCGATTTCAAACCACGTTTTTTTAAACTGTCTTTGGTTCACTGCAGTTTTAAGCAGAAAATACTCAGCAATGGTGTTGATTTATGAATTTGCCCATTGTTTGTTTTAAAGCATATTTAAAACACCACATAGACTTTTAAACAACATTAAAAGCTTGATTTTCACCACAGGGGGACTTTAAGGATTCAGAATATATATATATTATAATTAAGGTAAAAACAAATGTATATACTATATGTAATCTGAATAGTAAAAAGCCAGAAGCTTTATTGAAGCATACTAGGTACTTAATTTGGCATATTTTGACATGTAGAACCTGTTGTCATTACGTGTACATTTTATAAAATAAAAAAAATCTTTTTTTTTTCTGTCTTTTTTTTTACAGCTATACTGAGCCTAAGACCGGATTGGTGCTGGTCACACTTCATTGAAAGAGTTGCTACAATGAAGCATTTACTTTTAAATTTCCGTCTTTCCACTGCCTTAACTCAAAACGTCTTCTCTGGGGAATAATAGTGCCAGTAATTATAATGTTCTTTTGTCTTTTAACTACATACACCTCTATTTTCTTTCAGTAATTGTGAAAGAGTTTATCTAAGACATAAAAATATCAGGGTACTACATATTTACACAGTGTTTTATATTGTATTGACCTGTATATACATATTATACTTTATTGAATGTTTATTGATGCTCACTTGTGAGGCTATTAAGGTTCAACTGATCCCTAATCACTATATTTTAATGTAATAAGTTTAAATAGCCTTTTGCCTAAATAGATAATGGCCACACATTTTTCCTAGCCAGACCATATAGAAGAAAAGGCGGATATTATTTAGGTACTTAAGATGTTTGATATTTTATTTTATTAATTTTTTGCTTTATAGGTGCAGTGCTACATACGTTTTATAAGATCTAGCTTGTTGTGTTTAAAGTAGTGGGGATGTCACAGGATGGCTTATTCTCTTCAGTGTTGATGTAAATAGAAATATATTAATGAAGTTTCTAGAAATATAAATGCTTTGCATTTTAGTTTGTTTGTGAGCAGCTTGGACAGATATATTGGACGCATACATTTTATGTCGCTTTTGCATTGCTGGTATTTTAAGTTTTAGCTCAGATTTGTTTTTTTATATTTCCAGTTTAAAATGTTGATGCCACACATATTTTATAGACATCTTAATGCTGCTATGCAAATCACAATTCTTATGTGTGAGAATTGTTCTAAAAAATATTTTTGTGATATTGTATATTTTGAACCTCAAAAGATTTTATATGTAAAAAAAATATTTTTGTTATTCTAAATTATGGTTTGGAAAAAAAAACTGAAGAGAAGAATAAAGACTTGACATGTACAAGTTTTGATTCTTTTGGTGAAATGAAAATGTGGTGTAATCAGCAGAAAATGTGGTTTAAAAAAGGGCTTAGCGTAGCATGCGCTTGGAGCTCAAACACAGCTGAACATATTCTACATCCTCGTTTCTCTTTCTCTCCATTTCCCCTTTAATCTGTAGAAACCGTTGGTGGGGGAAAATATAACTCAGCATGTTGAACGCTCAGTTGCTGACGTTTGTTTCAATCAGTAAAGGTCAGATTTCTCCATGATGAAAGTGGCAGCTGTTGAAGTGAATGCAGTGCACTTCCTTTCCATAAGAGGGCGATCCGGCGATGCTGTGTGTACACTCTTACACACAACCTGGCACTAGAGCGCTGCAGTGATGCTTTTTTGTTGGCCAACCCTGAAGTTAGCATCACCCTGGTTCCCTTGAAAAAAACTCATTAGGATTTTTCTATTGGCTTTTTAATTACTCTAGAAATGTGACCAACAAAAGTTGATGTTCATCACGATAATCTTAACAAAACAGCTTTTATGAAGCCTAAATACAATTAGCAGAAGTAAAAGTCTTATTAGGGTATAAACAAACTACACCACTTCAGCGTCGCCTCCTTCAAGCTTCCGTCAACTCTTGAGTCTTTTAGTATTTATTTAAAAACATTTCCCTGAAAGTTTGAGTTAGTATAATTCGCTAGAGCGTGATTAAATACACAATGCTGCTGTGAAAAAAGTTTTTTTCCTGTTTGGTATAATGACGTTAATATCCTCGACAACCTCTGTAGTCCCATTTAGCCACTGGACCCTTTTCACAGACTATGATAACGTATTTCCAGTTATTAACATATTAAATCTAGTCAAGTTTTTTCACATTTAATTTTTTTTTAAATATAGATTTATAATGCTATACTTTTTTATATTACCTTGGCAGGAAATTACAAAAAATACAAATGAACAACACTGCTGCGAGGTGTTTCTACTACAGCTGAGGAAGTGACCGCAAATTTGAAATATTTCTCTCTTCTGACTGCTGTAATCAATCTATATATGTTCCCTTCTTTTGAAACGTTGTTTGCTATTGGAGCAAATAGGAATACAAAAATTATATTTGCATTCGTCTCCCATTCACAGCTATATAAGTTTACCAAACTATGACAACTTCCACGTCTGAGAACCCCAGAAATGTAAGAAGAGTCCCTTGTTCCACCTTTAAGAAAGCTTTATAAAAATCAAAAGGGGGTATTATTAGTGTGTTTTGTTGAAGAATAAAACATGGAAATATCTTGAACTTGTGTTAACCACAGACCTTATTTCAGGCATTTAGTTACACAAAAAAACATACAACAAAACATACATTTGAAGTCCAAACCAATACTATCTTACTTGAATTGCATAAAATGTGCATGCCTACTATGTGATCAAATAATTTAAACAGGAAATAAAGATTGATTACAAAATTGCTAAAGTTACTTTTATACAGACACCATTTGGGGTCTCTGGGACACCAAACGTAAAGAACAAATCAATCTCATCAGGGTTAGCATATAGGGTTTTATCGTGTTCTTGTTTGCATATTTGTTTCTTTTGCTTGCTGCATTAGACTGTTTCATGCACAGTGAGTACTTGACTGCAGAAGCAAGACTCAACGCCATAGATGTGCTGAGAACGTCACACAGTCGCAGCGGAAGCTTAGAAGAGATTTGATGTACGATTTTACAAAGAAAAGAGCCCAGCCTCGCATTTCACTTCCCTCTACGAGAGGATACAACATCTGCTCTGTCTGTAAAGGCATATATTATCTCTCTGTGCTCAAGAGTACCTGAATTTCCTGTGTAACAATTGAACTTTTGAGAAATATGGAGAATTGGACTGGGGTCTGATCTGAACTCATTCGTCTTTGTTTAATTAAATTAAAACAAACGAACAGATGCTAAATTGATCCTTATACATGTCTGTCAATCTCATGGTTGAAGAGCTCAAAAGAGGTGAGTCGATTTATATACTCTGTAATACATCTATTAACTATACTGTGCCTCAGTTTAAAACCGTGATCTCAGTGGATATATTTTTTATCTAAATATATTTTCTACAAACTTATTTCTGAATAAATAGAGCTACAGTCCAAACTTGATACGCATAGTGTTCATTATTTGTAAGGTTCTTAATCAGTTTAAACTGAAATTAATAATTTTATTGATATTTTTTTAAATAAACATTTTTGCATCTTAAAGGAAAATCATAATAATTTTTATGGTTGGGAAGGGCTTTGGTGGTTAAATGTTTGATACTTTTTGATTTACTCATTTGTGTGTGTGTGTGTGTGTGTGTGTGTGTGTGTGGGGAGCTCAATCTCCGAAACAATTGTAACCCTCTAAATTCAGATTATTTTTTCCAATACTCACAGTATTTCTTTAATAAAGCAAAATGCTTTTGTTGTTGATGAAGATATAATTGTTAGATTCATTAAAGTCATTTTATAATACAGCATCTTCTGTATTAGCACAGAAATGTACCTTAAGCATATATGCTAATACTGGTCAGATTAAAGGCCTACTTCTCAAGAATGATCTGGCTGACAATGTTCCCAATATCTATTAATTTTTATTTAATTTTTTTAGAAGTGTTTTTATCGAAAAGTGTTTTCTGAGTATATATTAAAACCATTTGGCCTTTTGTGATATTAACTGGAGCAGTTGTTTGAATCATCAGCGTACTTTCCTCTCGTGACTGCCAGATGGAGGCCTAGGAAGCCATTGCCATTTCGAGAATAATCTTTGAAGCAGTTTTAACATGTCAAAAATGTCCTTTTTCAGCATTAGCCAATAGAGTTATTAAATAAACAAATGAATAAGCTCTCAAATTTCTGTTTAACTACGTTTTTATACGCAAACTACGCAAAGAATTGTACTTTAATCAATAGCAGGGCCGTCATCACAGGAGTAAAACGGGAAGCTTTGTCCCAGGCCCTGTGATGAGAGGTATTTTCTCCACTGCTCTGTGGAATAGCGGATATTGTATTGTATGTAAGAAAAATGTGGAAAAAGTAAAAAAAATAAGAGTGATTGTCCATTGCATGATGTTTTAGTGTTTCTTTGGAATTTTAAAGATTTAGTTCAGGATAGTTTCACAAAAATGAGAATTCGACAACATTATCTCACCCTAACTAACCTGTATGAGTATCTTTCTTCTGCGGAACACAAAGGATTATATTTCGAAGAACGTTGCAGTCCAAACAACAACAGGCCCCAAAGACTGTCATTGTACGGACCAAAAAAACAAAAACAAACACACACACTGATATTTCAGAATAATTTGCTTTGTGTTCCACAGACGAAAGTAAGTCATATAGGTTTGGAACGACGAAAATGAATATATTTTTTTGTTTGTTTTTGTTTTTGTTTTGTTTTTTGAGTAAAGTATTCCTTTAAATATAAGACAAATTAAATTAGATATAAATGAAATTTTAAATTACGTATAAAAAAAATCTCATTGTATGAATACAATTATCGGTGTTTTGTGATAGCATAATAGTTACTTTACTTTTTTATTCTTTATGAATTATGCAGGATTCACACAGAGAGGGAGTAAACCGAGAACAAGAGATACAGCTTGCTGCAAGACTCCTCACTTCTGGATTTCTATGTCTTGAATATCTCTAATGATGCACAATGACCTCAGTTTCTAAACCTTCACTGGATTACAGAACAGAGGAATAAATCACCACGTCGCAAGACGAAGAGCGTGAGGAGGACTTCAGAATGCTATGTGAATTGCAGGGTTTTTACTCTTGGTCTTTATAGATCTGCAAACTTGTAATTCTCAATGATGACTTCATCATCTGTTGGACACCACTGAATTTCTATTCAATTTGTTTGGACCTATTAGACTGCAGCTTACAATAACTTCAACACCAGAGACAGAAGGATGAACGGGTTGACAGAGACCTCAGTGAAATGCGTACTGGTTGGGGACTGTGCAGTGGGTAAAACTGCACTTCTTGTGCGGTTTACTTCTGAAACGTTCCCAGACAGCTATAGACCCACTGTCTATGAAAACACTGGAGTTGATGTATTCATGGATGGAATCCAGATCAGCTTGGGACTGTGGGATACAGCAGGACATGATACGTTCCGCCAAATCCGCCCCATGTCCTATCAGCAGGCAGATGTGGTTCTGCTATGTTATTCGGTAGCAAATCCAAATTCGTTAAGCAATTTGCGGCACAAATGGATCACCGAAGTGAGGGAATTTCTTCCGAAGGTGCCTGTGCTGGTTGTTGCCACACAGACAGACCATCGTGAGATGGGCCCGTATCGTGCCAACTGCACCACGGCCTCGGAGGGCAAACAGGTGGCACAAGAGATCCGTGCCAAAGGGTATCTGGAATGCTCGGCTCTCAGCAATCGTGGCGTGCAGCAGGTTTTTGAGTGTGCCGTTCGAACGGCTGTTAATCGGGCACGGAGACGGACAAGGCGGAGACTCCAAGACTTTAATCCCTGTAAAGTCTCCTGAATGCTTTTAAAACGTGGATGAAATTGAATTCTTATCACTAAGATAAAATTGTTTCTTCTCACACACAAAACCAACTAACTAAAGCCTCAACAAAGACTTCTGAACACTGATGTCTTAATACTGTTTACCTAAAAGACTATTTGATTTTGAGTCCTCTAGTCAGGAAAATTGAACAGATATTTATTCATTAAACAGCTGTGACCTTGTTAATTTTATAAATACTATACAGGATTTTACAAGTTGAACATATCGTTTAAAAGACAGATGCGTCTTTTGTTGCACTGCTACTGCAAATGTACATTTGTAGATTGTAGTTGAAGTCTTATTTTAAGTTTCATTCTTTCAGCTTTATTTTCATGGTTTCTTGCTAACTGAAATAGACCCTTAAAATTCGCTCTTTGTCTGCTGGTCCCTGTCCTAGACCTGTGAAATAAGGCTCATAATGCAACACTGAGATCACATTCTGTAATCCTCATTTTAGATGGCAAATAAATCACTTCGGTTATGTATTTCTTGTTTGCTGACAAGGTTTTTTTTCCTGTGATATGCTGTTTATGGAGCTTAGGAACAGATAAAATGAGAATTTCAGTCCTGAAGTTCTTATTCTTAAAAGATTGATTTCATAGTCTTTATGAAATCACTTAAATAAGTAATTGTTTTAATTAAAAATTAATGAAAGAGTTAAGCTGGTACTTTGCTATGTATCTGTGTGGTCTGTCATGCACAGTGAGCCGAGTTATTATCGTTGTACTAAAGCCAAAGAAATTATTGAAAGTGTTCATTAATATAAATATATATATATAGTAGAAGTATTTGAAATGTATACGTTTTTAATCACATATTTTTTTTCTCTTTTATACACAATATTTTGCTAAAAAAAATTGTGGACAGCATAGCCTCTGCTTGAGGCCCCACAGACATAATCTGAACACGCCTTGGTAAAAACAGTTGCAATGGAACTGTATTCCAAGCAAAGCCTTTGACAAACAAACATTATGTCTTCTGCCGTTATGCAACAAAAATCTGCATCTGGTATCTGAGACAGTCTGTAGACATATACTCAATACGTAACAAACGGGTATACGAGCGGTTTCTCAGACACACACCAAACTTTTTTTTTTTTTTTAATCTTTACCTAATGTTAGATGTTATGACACACTGCTTGGAAAAATCTAGAACACTCAGATAATATGTAATACATAATATCTTCTACATTGGGACAGTTCAGGATAAATAGTTCCATTTTCTGAAACACTCTGTTTTGAGGTTCTAGCCTTCGTCAGTGTAATTAGTGTCTGGTGAGAACAATCATAAGGACAACAGAGACAGTGTTCACATGGTTTGAGCTAAAGTCTACTTCAGTTCAACAGAAACTATATACCATACAAAACAAAATGCTAATAGATCACCAGATACTTTCTTACTCCAGATATTACAAACCTCCTTGACTATGAATATATATTTTACATCAGATATATTTAGATTGGCTGTGATTGTATCACATCACACAGCAGTTTTGTGTTTGCGTGGACTGACAATTTGCTTGTCCAGAAAACCGATTGCACTGTGCAGGTTTGGACACAATGTAAAACAGCTCATGTGGATAAGGCTTGATGCATAGTCAAGTCAAGTCAAGTCATCTTCATTTATATAGCGCTTTTAACAATGGAGATTGTTTCAAAGCAGCTTTACAGAGATAAACATACAATTTACGGTAACAGAGATTGTTTTGGCTTTATAGCGATTTTTGAATAATGTTATTTCCAGCTAAAGTTAGTTTTGATTGATTCACTTCCAGCAAAATTATAATTTGTTATTACATTAGGGGCCACTAAGACGACGGCGTTCTCTCTAAACAGACTTTAAACGTGAACCTGTGACCTGATGGCGTTCACATGCGTTCACATGCGCATTAAAAATTTATTCTATAGTTATATTCGTTTGAATATATGTGCGCAGGTTTGTAATTTCCCTACAAACCATGCCTAAACAAACTACTTGACTTGCCTATACATTTGATAAAGAATTTTGTTTTATTTTATCACTTCGGGTACGCGAACTGGATTTTCAACAATGTTTTATCTGTAGAGTGGGAAAGTCATCCTCATAGGGAGAGGATAGAAGACATAGAAGAGAGCAGAGGAAAATGTACAGTATACAGTTATTTATAATATTCCCAACATATAGCCTATGCCATTTTGACCCTTCATGTCATACATTATTAAGCAGGAGAATGTTTTTTATAAAATGATCAAATACACAGGCAATAAAACAAAGGAAATGGTGTGCTACTACACACACTACATAAAAGGAAAAGTTGGCAGAGGAGCAGAAGAAGACAGAGCAACATAAAGAAAAAGTATATGTTATGTGGTTTATGGAGATGAGGTGATGTAGGCTGCCGCTTTTGGAGAACTGAAGAGCTCAGACACCGAAACCACATCCCAGCAGGAGAACGTCTTTCTCTGAACTTGCTGAAAACACGTGCTTTGGTGGCTCTATAGAAAAACGTTACAATTGTATTGTGAAATGTATATCTCTTTCTAAATGTTTTGTAAGTAAATGTATTCCTACGTGATCAGACATATTTTGTACTGATTCTAGAAATCAACACGAGAGGTTGAATGAAAAGTTGCGTATTGAGAAGAATGAAAAAATGTGAAAATTACCTATATTTGTACAGTTACAATTTGAATTGATTTTTTCAACATTTTAGTAGCTTATGGGTTATTCTTACTTTTAAACAAATAAAGAGTGGGATTAGCTAATACGATAAACAGGACTGTACTCAAACTGCAATACATATACCACAAAAGAGGAAGTGAGAACTATCAAAAGAGTTTATTTAATACGACACTGAGTGAGCGAACATGTGAAGCAAACAGTTTTACGGAGTGAATTGTTGAATTTTGGAATATTTAATGAATGAATTGTTGAATTATTGAATATTAACAAAGGACGTAATAATGAACGTTATAATGTTTTGTGTTACGTTTATGAATTTTCCTTCAGAAAATAAAACTATGCATTTATTTCTTCTGTGAAATACTAAAGAAGATATTTTGAAAAATGTCTCTGTGTCCCCCCCCCCCCCCCCCCCCCCTTACAATGAAAGTAAACAGGGTCCAGTGTTATTTTTGGACCTCACTGGCTTTAAATGACAAAAACTGTTGAGACATTCCACAAAATATCTTCTTTTATTTTCAGGAAAATGAGCAAATGATGACAGAGTTTTTATTTTTGGGTGAACTAAGGTAATAGACTTGAAACTGTAATATGTGGGTGAGACAAATTGCTGGAGATGTTATATATATTATTAATATGCCTTAGTCCATATTTGGCAAATTTACAGAGTGCTGTGGTCTGCACAACTCACAAAATAAATCCACTCAGACATATACACATTCGTTCTATGCGACCCTACCACACAGTCAGTTCTCTTTTCTACAACAGGAAACACCTGCACTGTTCTCTTACCACACGAACGCTCTGATACACATACACAGACAATCCACCCATAAAGCATCAAAGCCTTGCACAATCACCTCTTTATGACAGTTAAGCCAAAATTTAAGAGATTGAGCATCATCAGATTAAGTTCCAATTGCTGAGGTGATGCTAAAACACTAACAAACCAAGTCAAAAATAGTCAGAGATATTAAAAATCATTAGTTGAACCTTTAGGATTTTCCACACTTTGGTTGATCTGGCCAATGGTGAGTCAGAGAGGAATGAGTGTGTAGGACAGGGAAGATACCCCTGAAAATGATACTGAAAGAATCACCTTAATTTCAGAAAGCACAAAGAAAATGCACATTCTGAGTCATTTTGAGTCATTATGTCATATTATTGTGTCATCTTATCTCTAAATTGTTGTCTAAAGATACTGACCTGCTCTGGTGCAGTGTAACATAAACAGGTAAGAAAGAAGGGTGAAGAAAGAATAATGATCTAAAACAACTTTCTTTTTTCAAGCAAAATTTATTTAGTCATCCCTGAGAGTAATTGTCTATGCTGGAGCATTATGGGTAATGTAGTTTGGCAGCATAATATGTCGAAGTACACTACAGGATATGAAACTCTCCTACGCCTGAGAAAGAAAGAGAAAGATATAAAGACGCCTCGAGAAGAACCACTTCCTGTCTTATTCCTCTCATCTCTCATCATTTCAGACCCCACGGTCCTTGTGTGTGTATGTGCTTGTATTCCTGCGTAGGTGATGGGAAATATGAGGGGGCTGTGTGTGACACAATCTAAAGAGATTCGGTTACAAACAGCTCCTCAACGGTACTTAGTTAGAATGCTATAAATTTGTTACAGAGAAGTAGTTAATTAACATGTTTGTTTTAGATGCAAAATGTAATATGAAAAATCAGTTTTTTTCCAGCACTAGAAAATTTGGAATGCCGTTAAGGGTAATCTGTGTTTGTTCTGTGTTTGGGGGGCTGGGTGGGGGGTTTCAGTTTCTTTGCTTTCAGTTTGTTTCCATGGTTTTTCAATGATCTACACCTGATGTTCATTTTGTTAGTTTATTTGTATATAAGATCTGTGTTTTGTTTACTTTATTTTTCCGCTATCATTACATATGTTCTGTTCATGTCTTGCCAAGTCTAAGTATACTGAGAGTTTTGTTTTTATGTTAAATAAAAATTATTGCCAGTAATTAAATACAGCTCTTTTATTTCAATCGTTAGTTATATATATATATATATATATTAGTTTATGGTGTTGAGAAAACTAAACTGAGAAAAATAAGAAAAATAAATAAAAGCGAACTTATCTAAAATAAGTCTGAAAGAGTACATAAACTCTTTCATAGCCTTCTCTATTAACTCATGTAAAATGAGAATTACTGCGCTGTTCTGAATAAATGCGCCCCTGTAGTATTAATTTAACAAACACTTTCATTTTAGTGCCTCAGCCATTGAGAAAAGAATATACCCCACTAGTAAACATACAGGGAACAATGTTACGTGTTCTCACTCTTTAATAAGATAAGAAAGTTGATATGGAACACAGATGCAAGGAAAAGGTGATTAAAAAGCATACTTTTAATGTCCACATACAGTACACGACTGAAAAAGAGATTAGAATGTCAGTGCGTTTTATCTAGTCCTTGTAATGTGTTACCAGTTAATCTCTGCTGTCTTGAAATTAAGTGTGTGCATGTGTAAGAGGGGAGACTGTCTCTTCCTTTAAAATTCATTGTGTGTAACATTCAAACCACCTGACCTGTCTGCACTACACCCTTGTCAGATCGGCTCTCACTTTGACTGACAGGACAAACACATTCAATCACACAAAATCACAACGAAGAATCCATTACAAGTCCGGAAAAGATAACACATAAGATGTTTCTGCTTTTGAAAGAACAGAAGATCCCCAGTGTTATAAACACACATTCTTTTTACATAGTTGAATATCTCCACAGTGACATGAAGTGTGTGTGTGTGTGTGTGTGTGTGTGTGTGTGTGTGTGTGTGTGTGTGTGTGTGTGTGTACACGTGTTAATGTGCATGCTATGTGATACCTCGGCTCTTGTTCCAGAGAAGCAGTAAGAATGACATTCAGGCCTTCAGTGTTGTACATCACTCTCAACGTTCAGATCGCTATGGGACTTCTCGCAATTTCCTCTTTCCTCCTCTGCAGAAAATAACATTTAAAAATGAAAAGCAAATGAGGAGCAACAGCAAATAATAACTGGCAAATTGTATTTTATTTTTGCCATTCTTATGAAAATGAAGATCATATTTCTTGTGCTTCACATTAGCATGTTGCTACATGGTAAGTCCATGCTCCTTTTAATGCTGATGCTGTTCAAAAAAAATATTTTCTTAATCAGCATTTTTGTTTTGTTTTTCAGTAAAACATATTTATGATACATTTATTTTATAAGCAAAATTGTCAGGCAACAATAGATTTTTAGAGAATATATTTTGAATTAAGACTAAATTTCATACCTCATTAAAAATGGGCTTTTCTTGTTTTAAATATCTATACATTTTTTTCTTGAGTTTATGCTGAAAATACAAAACAAAAGGATAATAATAACATTTTCTCACAACACAATATGAAAATACTGATTAAGAAATATTTTTATATTTACATCCAGCTACATATATATTACTATTATATATTTTTATTTATGTATTTATATAATACTTTGTTAAACACCATGTTACTGAATGATAACCAGTATGCCAATATATTAAAGTACTGAGATGTTATATAATGCGTGTCTAAAACAAAATGTTTTATATTAAAATGTTTACTATTTTTCTGTAATATTAATTGGTGTCTTAAAAAAAATCACCAACAATCATAGTTTCCATAAAATTACCATAATTACCTGTGATAATTTTGGGATGATTTGTTCAATTTCAACATGTTATTTTTTACGCTCGAATTCATTGTATAAAAACAACTAAATAAAATATGTGCTCCTCTCTAGTTGTTTTCTCTGCTCAGGGTCGTTTTGCTCAAAAATTGCTGAATGACCTAATGGAGAACTATTCGAATGCTTTACGGCCTGTGGAGGACACAGACAAAGCTCTTAACGTCACTCTACAGATCACACTCTCTCAGATCAAAGATATGGTGAGCACTAAACACACACGCACAAGTCTACGGAATATTGACATTTAATCTGGTACCTATTTTATAGTTAGAATGAAATGTTTTACTGAATTAATAGAGCAGAATAAGTTTATAGCCACACACATCAGACCTATACTGCAGAGACAGTGTGTCTGAAATAACCGCTGATTCTGAGATCAAGGTATACTGTATAACACACCAGCAAAAAAACCACACACTGTCCAACTGGCCTTGATGTGGCATGGCTTGTGTGATTTCAGGGCATACTTTTGTGACTTCATGCTGAAGCCGCACAGATCACACAATGGCCCCAAACTTTTAACCTCTGGAAATACATGCATAGCTCAAATGCATATTCTCATTCATGCCCATGGCTTAAATAACTAGTTAACTACTTATATGCTTTTGCCCAAACAATTATGTGTAGAATTGCCAATAGTAACCAACTAGGCAAACTTGCCCCCAATGGACTACCAGCTGTGGTCTTCACTACAGTTGCAGTTATAGTGGATAACTCTGTGTCAGAAGTTATCAAATGTTTATTGTGTGGATCCTCTTCTCATTAACTCTCTGTATCCTGTGACACTGTAGACATTATATGTGTAAAGTGTGAGCTGGGTGACTAATGTATAACAGTTCCTAGCTAGTGTGCCACTGCGGATCATGTTTTCTCCTCACTTTAAAGTGGTTTATATAGTCATCAGTATATGTGTTTAAGTAACCTGGAAAGTAACATTTGTATTATTTATTCTATTTTTTTCTCTTTTTTTTCTGATTAGATTATTTATTTACTCATTGCTGGTGCAAAAGTACTGTCTGCTTTAAACATTAGAAACATATGAACATGCTCATTTATAAAAACATTAAAATAAACTATTATAAGGCATAGTAATTATAAGGAGTAAAACGTTGAATTAACAAATTAAAATAAACTTTAGAATGTCTTACTATAGCCTTATGGTTTGTCCCTCAGTCTATTGCTTTAATGGCAGCAGCACTCAGGTTGACATGAACTCTTCAAGTTTCTGCAAAACACAATGATCATGTTATCCAGCATGATTTCAGAATGTCAAAGATAATCTTGTCCTTCAGTGTAGTTCAAAGTAGTTCACATGATCAATGTCACAAGTTTGTTTATTTGGTTAGTGACCGAAAATTGGTGCAAAATCGCAAATATTTCTTATTCATTTTACTTTAAGGGGTGGTTGATTATGATTTCACTTTTCTAACTTTAGTTAGTGTGTAATGTTGCTATTTGCGCATAAACAACATCTGCAAAGTTGCAATGGTCAAAGTTCAAAGCAAAGGGAGATATTTGCTTTTAAAGAAATTCCTTTTTAAGGACTACAACAAACGGCTGGTAGGGACTACACGACATTCCTCCCGGGTTAGTGACGTCACCAACCCTAATTTATGTTAATTTACATAAACCCCGCCCCCCGGAACACGATTTATAGGCCGTTCCCTTTCAAGGCGGTCACTTCGACATTACGTCATACTGACGTATATGGGAACTCCTCCCTTCTCCATTTTCACTGAAATCTTATAGGTTAACGCCAGCTGGAGACAGCTGGCCAATTGACGCAAAACATACAAATGCTGACCGGTCCGCGGGCAGTATAAATAGCATGGGCGCGACAATTACGTCAGAATCTCTTTCTTCACGCTAGAAGTCTTATCTGAAGTCATCGTGGAAGTTGCAATAGAGGTTACGCACCATGTTTCCTCCCCGCATCCGATGGCTGCTACATGCCAGGTATATGCGGTATTGACTCGCTCTACCCAAACAAGGATCTACTGAGGCCGCACTCACAGACGACAGGCATGTGCTGGTCTACCAGTGCGCGCCCTCATAAACCCGGGCATCAGCAGGGATGAGGCCCACTGCCGCCAGCGGCCGCTGGTGGGCCCTCTCACGCCCAAAGAAGAGTTGACAGTCGTTCTCCCCTGTGGCCCAGTGGCGGAACCCGAAGCCTTTGCGCGAGAGACCCGTGTTCGATCCCGGCTCTCGAGCAGATACATTTTAACCTGCCCGTCGCCTCTCCGGTCCTTTTCGCGGGCTCGCTAGAAGGACTCGACGCGATAGGCTTTGTCGGAAAGGATACTTTTATTATTTTACTTAGCCCGGTATCTAACAGCCAGGCTACTTTGAGAAAGATTCCGTCTTCACGACGTCCTATGGTAAGTCATGCGAAGATGCATCCAGAGAGACGAGGCAAGGCCATGGCTCTGTGTCTAAAGGCGCGAAAGTGGTTGTTTCCCCCTGTGGCTCAGTGGCGAAACCCAAAGCCGTCGCACGGGAGACCCGTGTTCGATCCTAGCTCTCACAGCAGATAAAATTTAGTCTCGCCGCGGCCAGACTTTAAACCGAAACTTTTGATCTCTATACGGTCCAGCCTTCCTCGATGTCTCTCTTCGTCGGCACCTCGTCCCGCCTAATTCGGCTACAGCCGCCAAAACGGTTCTAACCCGAACAAACCGGATCTTCACCGTTGGCAGAGGGCGGGACCGGGAATGTGGCGACACAGGCCACGGAGAGCGCCGCGCCAGGACGCCCCGCTCTGGTGATGGAGGTGCACAGCTTACAGCTTATGTCGTCAGGCTGCCCTGTATCCTTCAGTGCAACTGGCCATTCTGATTTAACCACGTATCCACAGTTGTTGTCGCTACGCCACTGACGCTGTGTTTATGTTCACACTGCACACTGATATGTGCTATGATTTGTGCCGTTATATATTGCCCTGTTTCTTTCAGTGCGAATGGGTACTCTGATTACCACGTATTCACAGTTGTTGTCGCTATGCCACTGACGCTGTGTTTATATACACACTGCACACTGATATGTGCTATGGTTTAACTGTTATATCCTTATATGTTGCCCTGTATCCCTCAGTGCAACTGGCCATTCTATTAACCACGTATTCACAGTTGTTGTCGCTACGCCACTGACGCTGTGTTTATGTACACACTCCACACTGATATGTGCTTTGATTTAACTGTTATGCCCTTATATGTTGCCCTGTATCCCTCAGTGCAACTGGCCATTCTGATTTAACCACGTATTCACAGTTGTTGTCGCTACGCCACTGACGCTGTGTTTATGTACACACTGCACACTGATTTGTGCTATGATTTAACTGTTATGCCCTTATATATTGCACTGTATCCCAAGTGCAACTGGCCATTCTGATTTAACCACGTATTCACAGTTGTTGTCGCTACGCCACTGACGCTGTGTTTATGTTCACACTGCACACTGATATGTGCTAATATTTGCGCCGTTATATGCTGCCCTGTTTCTTCAGTGCAAATGGCTATTCTAAATACCACGTATTCACAGTTGTTGTGCGATGAAATGACGCTGTGTTTACGTGCACTCTACACACTGATATGTGTTCATGATTCATGCCGCTATAAATTGCCCTGTATCCTTCAGTGCAACTGGCTATTCTGATTCACAGTTGTGCGATGCCACTGACGCTGTGTTTATGTACACTGATATGTGTGTGTTATGCTTATGCCACGATATTGCCCTGTACCCTTCAGTGCAACTGGCTATTCTGATTACTACGTATTCACAGTTGTTGCGATGCAACGGACGCTGTGTTACGTACACACTACGCACTGTTATGTGTATGATTTATGCCATTATATATTGCCCTGTTCCTTATCCTTCAGTGCAAATGGCTATTCCGATTACTACGTATTCACAGTCGTGCGATGCAACTGACACTGTGTTACGTTCACACTACACAGCGTTATGTGTTGGGATTTATGCCATTATATATTGCCCTGTAATTTTCAGTGCAAATGGCTATTCTGATTACTATGCAGTACGTCTTCACAGTTGTTGTGCGATGCAACTGACGCTGTGTTTATGTACACACTACACACTATGTGTTATGAATTTTGCCGTTGTATATTGCCCTGTATCCTTCAGTGCAAATAACTATTCTGATTACTACGTATTCACAGTGTGGCGCGATGCAACTGACACTGTGTTACGTACATACAACTCACTGTTATGTGTAATGATTTATGCCATTATATATTGCCCTGTGTCCTTCAGTGCAAATGGCTATTCTGATTACGTACACAGTTGTTGTGCGGTGCAACTGACGCTGTGTACACGCTACGCACTGATGTGCTATGTTTACGCCGCTAAATATTGCCCTGTATCATCAGTGCAACCGGCTATTCTGACTTACTATGTATTCACAGTCGATGTCGCGATGCCTCTGACGCTGTGTTTTTGTACACACTAATGTGACTATGCTATCGCGTTGCCCTGTATCCTTCAGTGCACCTAGCTATCCTATCTAACTGTGCATAGTCACAGTTTGTTGCTACGGCGACTTGCGCTGCATCTGTTTCCACACTGAAGCGTTATGCAGTTATGTGGCTAACGTAACTGACCATTATGTGAACTGTGCATATTCATGCAGTCTCGGTCGCTTCGTCGACTTGCACTGCATTATACACTCAGATGTTTGAAATGTGCACACTGATGGGTAATGCTGTTATGTTGCCCTCTGTCCTTCAGTGCAACATCCAGCTAACCTATCTAACTGCATATTCAGTTATGTCGCTATGGCGACTACACAACATGTACAAGGACGTGTTTTTGCTATTTTGTTGCCCTGTTTCCTTCAGTGCAAAACTAGCTATCCTAATCTAACCGTGCATATTCACAGTTCTGGATGTATGTACGTAAACGGATGTGTTATGCTGTAATGCTGCCCTGTTTCCTTCAGTGCTGCTAGCCATCCTAATCTAACTATGCATCTTAGTTTCTGTCTCTACACAGTTTCTGTTGCTACAGCGACTTACGCTGCGTTATGTACATGCAAGGATGCGCTATTCCTTACTCACTTGTGTTATGCTGCCATGTTGCCCTGTATTTTCAGTGCAACTAGCTATCCCAGTCAAACTGTGCATATTCACAGTCTCCGTCGATACGGCGACATGCGCTGCATTTATTTACAAATGGATGTGTTCAT